CAACCGGGACTAGAACCTGGGGTGCCGGCACCGCCAGCCAAAAGATAGTTTTAAGCAGTCAAGTTTGTGATAATGGGTTACACATCAGGAAAAAACACATTCACCTAATAGTCTAATAGTGTTAGTGATGGGCCATTAGGGGACCCAGATGCAGATGCAGATGTGCCGTCACCTAAGAATTGGACTCCTTTCATTCTGGCCATTTGAAGAAGTAGACAACATACTGTATCCACTTGTGGAAAAATCTAGCTTGGATACAACAGACATTCTCTCTCTCTCTCTCTCTCTCTCTCACACACACACACACACACACGTATTTCATTGCTGAGAACTAGTTATGTGGCTACCCCTGGGTACAAAGGATCTTGGGATATATAATCCTTCCAGAAAATTCATATTGTGGAAGGAGGCTACACTTATCCATCCCAGTCAGGTTTTCACATGTGTTCTGAATAGTAAGGTTGTTACCTGTGTAATTCCAAGTGGAAAAAGGATCATAGGGTGATCTGTATTCCAATCCAAGACACACAGACAATTGGAGCAACATTTTTATTAGGAAAACAAAATGGATGTGCTTCAGTGGTGAATTTATTGTCAGAAACATAATCAACTGTGACAATATTCTAGGGAGAAGATCTGGACTCCTCCTGCCCAGAGGTGCTCCTCCAGGACAACCCGCCCCTTTCCTTCTTTCTTCTAGTTGCTGCTTCCTCACCTCCCAGTGAGGAGATGCATTTGCATGGGTGTAGACACTGCCAGCATGCTAGGCAGACCCACTACAGCATAGCCTTCTCCTTCTCTGGGGCTCCAAAGGGGTAGTCAGACAGCCCCCACTGCCTCATTCTCAGTCTACTCTGAACGCGCAGCAGTCTTCAGCTCCTCCCACCTTCACACAGCACGGCTATGCTTTAGGTGATAAGCTTGATTCATTTATGAGTTTTTTTCTCTGTGGATTTGAGCATCAGAGTGATATATTCAGCGACTGCCGTCTCTTTCTTGGGAAAATTAAAGGTGGTGAAGTAGTCTGTAGAAATTTGATCAAAGCGTTGGGTTAAACTCACTCTAAGTCTGGTGTTGCTTCTAAGGTTAATTCATTTATAGAAAGCTGAACTTCTGAGGTTGATGGAGAAGACAATGCATTTGCTTCATGTTGATCTTTAGAAATATTCAAGATGAAAGGTATAACATGATCCTCTATATGATCACTCCTATTAATTGTCCGCACTTGCTTTATTTGGTATCATAAAAGGACAATACAAAGCCGTAAGAACTTTAATTATGTAGTAAGGCAGATGTTCTTATGTTCCCAGACATAAGGAATAGTGCAGGGTATGGTGAAGAAAAACAAGAATAAGAACTGCTGTTAAGACCAAAAAAGGCAAAGCAAATGTCTGAGGAAGGCCAGTAACTCTCAGGAGACATGACACTGCCCATGAACTGGAATATTCCAAATGCTGTCGTGACAGTCCCTGCTTCATCCATCCACATCAGGAGATTGTGTCTATATTTGTTCAGTTTATTATTTCTCAGTGACATATCCGCCCCCTCTACCTTCCTGTATCCTTGCCCCCTCTGTATCCCTCTGTCTTTCCTTTTTTTCTCCTTTTCTCTCCCCTCTCCTCCCCTTCCCTCCCCTCCCCCCTCTCCTGCTCTCTATCCCTCTGTCATTCATGGTTCTAATTACTGAAAAGAATCCAATACAGCATTGTCTAATGTCTATTATTAACGCCATGTTAGATAACTGCTAAAAAGAAGGACATCTCTCCAAGGTGGCTTGGGCAGAGTTGGGATATTCCACAGCCTCTGATCATGTACTGCCTCTTCCCAAATGCCTTCCCTGATTTCCAGTCACCAGAAATAAGTGGACTAAATAGTTCTTTACATTACGTGGCCCAAATACATTTTACCAAATGTATTTATCTCTGGTTGGTTCCCAGTAGACTCCCTATGATGCCATCATGATTCTCACTCCTTCCTTAGCATCGTTGAGTCTTTACAACTCATTAACATGTCTGTTGCAAAAAACTGCTTGTTATGTCATAGCCTTCCTTGTCTAAAACTCTTACTCACCCTTCAAAACTCAAGTCACCTATTCCCATGAAGTCTCTGTTAACACTCATAGACTGAGTATTATTTCTTTTTTTTTTCCTGATCAAGGCTCGTTTATTGAATAAATCCAGTAGTATTTAAACTGAGTATTATTTCTTACTCTAAATAACCACAGGAAGTATTTACATGTCCATCGTAGTGCTTTCCATATTGTACTGATTTGTATAAACATTTGTCCCACTCACCGGCCTCTGAAGTTCCAAAGAAAAGGAATGGAGCCATATGCACTGGCAGAGTCAGTGCTTACCTCCTAGTTTGTGTTCACCGTAATGAGGGATATATTTTACATAAGAAGTACATCATCAGGGCAGGAATTGCAGCACAGTGGCTTACAGCATGCTTGGGATTCCCACATCCTATATCAGAGTGCTGGTCCCAGCTGCACTGTTTCTGAACCAGCTTTCTGTTAATGCACCTGGGAAGGCAGCTGATGATGGCTTAAGTTGTCAGGAAGCCTCCACCCATAGGAGAGACCAGGGTGGAAGTGCAGGGTCCTGGCTTCAGCCTGGCCCAGTGCTGGCTGTCATTGGCATTTGGAGATGGAACAGATGATGAAAGATCACTCTCTCTCATCTCTCTCTCTTTCTGCCTTTCAAATAAATGAAAATAAATTTCAAAAAAGTATCATGGGTATACAATCTATGTAATATAATATCAATAGTATTGACTCTAAGCATAAAAGTTTTAGAATTATACATAATGATTTAAAAAATTATTTTATGTTAAAATATCACTTAATAAAATTTGAAGTTGGTTACAAAAGTCTTTCGTCTAAATCAGGATCTTCACTATTGATTTAAAAAATGCTTCATAAGAAAATTTGACATATTGTACTTCTATTATGTAAAGTAAAAGTGAAATTAGTTTTTTTGACTCTTCTTCTGTCTCTTTGCCTTTCCTGCACACACACATACACAAAGTATATGGCAAAAAAAATTCCTGGATAACTTTAAATTTTTTCTTGTGTACAACTTCAGAATAAAAATATTTCTCTTCAGCAATTTATTTGTATTCATATGAAATAAATCTCATAAAATTAACAAATTTAGGAGTTTAATAGGCCATGTTACAGGAGTTGTAAATATATTCTACTTTTGTCCAACATTAAATAATATATATGTGTGTATATGTGTGTGTGATTCCAATCAAATTCTTTATACAATTATGTATATGTTGACCCTCATCAGTTTTTTGTATTTTTCACTTTATTGTTAAATTCAAGAATAAGTTGTTGAAAAATGCTATTTGACTATCAAATATTTTCTTAAAATAATGTATATATGTGTGTGTATGTATTTCATGTGTAGGAATATGGATTTGCAATGTATATAGTCAATTAAGATATATATCTGTGTCTATTATCTATCAAGTCCATATTTATACACAATTTATATACGTATTTCTATTGAGCTATAAATATATGGGAACCATGAAGATACTATGTGGATAATTAGAGACCCTGTTTAAATATAGTTCCCATTCCTTTGAGGCCAGCTGATGATTTTAGTTGATGAGCCTGCACTGTACAACTGGGCCAAAAAATGTTGATGCTGCTACCAGTCAGCAAATGCTCTGTCATGCAATTCAGATCTAAGATTATTCTACAAATAGTGTTGTTTACTCTGTTGGGATCTCTCATGCCATTTATTTGGTGCTCTAGTGGACAATTTGAGTCCTAATGGTGGATAAATTCTACAAGCGATAGTGTTAGATCTGTCATAAAGAAACAAAAAGGGCATTCAGCTGGAAGTTAAAATGTACATTTTACCACAACTTGCAGCTTTTCCATTGGAAATGGAGACTGTGTTAAAGATCGACAGACCGTTAGGAATTGTTCAGTCTTCTGACATCATTAGGGGTAACATAAACATCCCTTCAACCTCATATGAGCAGGAGTGTCAGATTGTAAGGGATTTGAGGTTAAGTATGATTTGAGCAGTGCACCTTCGAAGGTATCTAATTGAAATGACTGCCTAAAATATTGAACCATGAAGTGCTCCTAGGATGCGGCTCTTCCATTTGCAGCTCCAGCCTACCATGCTATCAAATTAAACATGGTATGCTTGTATGTTGCTCTGTGAGCATTTATGCAGCTTATCTCATTTTTAAAATGAGATCATAGTAGGTATAAGTCTTATATTTTTCTTGTTTTTATTACCTTTTGGAAGCGATTTTTTTCTCTTTTCATTTGAAAAATTTTTTTTTTTTTCTTAAGAGAACCCTAGACTTGGTAGCTATTGATTGGCATCAGCATATCTGAGGGCAGGGAGGGACACCAATAGTTTGACAGTTTCCCCAAGTGATCCAAATGTATAGCCAGGATTCTCTACTCAAAGATACATTTCCACTCATTACATAAGAAGCTGATGTTTCACTTGGATCACTTATATGATAAGTTATTCCAGAAGACTGGTTATTTGACATTCCCCACCCCGAAATAAGAATTGCTTTTCAAATGAGTTCAGATGGCCTGTAATTCTCAAGTGATAGCCATGTCTTATAAGGATTATGGATTCTGGTTCTTATACAGAGAGTAACTATTTCTAGAACATGCATAAAATCATTTACTCTATTCTGACTCTATCCTTTCCCTTGAATGTTGCTTGGAGGCTGCTTCTTGAGATTAAAGGTGATTCACCTAAATCCCAGATATCTCCGTGTTTGACAAGGAGGTGATGGGCTGGAGATCCAGGCAGCTCTGTCTACTTAGGAAAATCAGGAAGTTTAGGCACTATACAAGGACAGCTTTATTGCACTGCAGAGGGTATGGTACAGGTACTTGCATTAATGATTAACCACACAGTCCGCCCTGACACCAGATGAACAAATTGAAAGCTTCTGCACTGTTTTGTACCTCAGTGTCATATTGGAAATGTTTTTTTCCTCCATAGGTCCGAACCTGTGTCCTCCCTGAACACAAGGACCCCCCTCCAGAAGTTGGGGTAAGTGGCTCTGTTGTTTCCCTGAGAAGCAGACACATTATTTCTAACTAAATCCTTTACATTTTTCTCTGGCCTCCTGCCTGGCAGCTGATACATGAAATTGAGTTAAATTAACAGGGTGTGACTGTTCAAGGAGGTGCTGTCATATATTTGCTGAATCGCATAGAATTCATTCCTTGTCTCATGAAAATCATCCTCAAATGAATTCATATTTGGTTCATCTGGCTAGACGTAACAGTAGAAGCTGCCCTGCAGGTAGCTCACATGCCATTCAGAGGCAACGTTCCCGGCCCCATAGGCAGCTGGGGAAATTACAGATGTGAGCTCCACGGCTCCACGGCTGCAGCAAGGGAGCAGAGAATCAGAGGGCTGTGACGCTTTCTGCTTCCTGCCACTTACACACTGACGCAGGTGGAAAGAGAGGCTGCCGCCAATGATCAGTCGGCGCTGGAGAGTCCCGCTGAGGTTTACCGCCTGCATCTGAACCAGAACATCTCTGGCCTCAGAAGTTGGAAGAGGAAGAGGATACTAGGTACTTTCTGCTTAGACAAGCCTCCCGTGGAGGTGGCAGCTCCTGAAAAGACAGAGCCCAGCAGGCGGAGTCTCTGCGATCTGTACCTCCAGAGAGCAGGGAAAAGTTCAGAAGAAAGTTGGTTTGAAGAGGCCCTGGGACTGGGCCAGCTGAAAAGCCTGTTTGAAATACTCTTAGATCCTGCAGGCACTAGGTAACCACCTGTCAGTGTGTGGAACACTGGACTAGGTATCGTTTGTTTTCTCCTTCAACAACCACTCCCCAAACCTGCCAAGGGAGCACTCCAAAAATCAGCACTGAAGTGTCAGTTAAGCTGACTGGGCAGAGGGCCAGTTATGCCTCTGTTAGTAAAGGAGGTGAACGGAAAGGCACTGTTTGCTTTCACTCCCCTGCCTAACACAGTTCCATCCTGGGGGATAGGCTGAGCCAGGCTCCTTGAAGCAAATCTTCCTGCTTTGTTTTCTGCCTGCTCCTTCAACCTCTTGCACCGTTTGTGCATCTTCCATGGATCTCTGTGCTCTTACAACATGGGCCTTTCTTATTTACTCTTCAGGGAACAGGGATCTCTTTCCAGCCTCAGTCCTTCAAGTCCAGGGGCACAGGACCCTTACCTGGGCTGCTTCCCCACACCAGCTCTCTCTCACAGCTCAGGGCTCAGCTGCCTGCTACTTGTGGATGACCCTCAGCCCTGGCTGCCTCCCTCAAGCTAGACTTGCCCTCCCCTGCTGAACACCTTTATTGCATTGCTTACAGCATCCCCATCTGTCTTAAAGTGACTGGAAATTTGTAACTATTAATATGGCTAGCACATTCGTTTATCAAGTGGTTCCATTTATTTATTGAGGTTCCAGGAGGATGAACTGATTTAATTTTTTCTCCTCTAACTGTTCATCTTCCCAACTGTCCTTAGGTTCAATCTCTCTTGCTTGAGACTTTAATGGTATCTTAGCTTGAGTGCATAACTTTCATCCTTGTTTTTCTTCTTTCACTCAAGTCCTTGGGAATCCATCTTATTTACTGAGAACTAGGGGTCTCTTCTCTGATTTTGTTTTCTTCTGCCTTTTTCTTGCATCATTTCTCACCATAGGCTATCTGATACTGAAATTGTAGCACTCCTGTGGAGCACAGGTGTATCTGTGGTCTAGCTGGCTCCTGCAGTTTTTTTTTTTTTTTCACTATGGGTTATATGGTTTTGTCAGCCTCTTCCTTTGCCCACTCCTACCCCACATCCTCTTACTTCTGACCCACTCTTCACACACATGACTCCATGTCAGCTGCCCTCTGTGATGTGCATTTGACCTATGTGAAGTAGGCTTGTGATTGCTATGCCCCGTGGGAGAAATGCATGCTGCCCCATTGGTGTTTCCATCTCATCTCTGCCATCTCTACTGACCCTTTCTATGAACCCCAGCAGCATCAGGTAGTAGTCCTAGTGTCCTAGTAGTAGTAGTAGTAGTAATATGAAATAGGCAGGCAGCTAGCTATCTTTGTTGAACTGGAAGTCACAAACCCCCACGTAATTCTGTCTTCCTACCTGTCAATGAAAACACCCCCTTTCCAGGGATGCATCTGTTTGGATATTGGGTATCACATGGAACTTGTGGAGGTGCTATATAATTTCCAGGAGGCTGCATGCCAAATGCCACCACTCTTGAATTCATAAAGAAGGCCTGCAGGGAAAAAGTTCTCTTCTGCCAGAGACCATGGTTGGAGGGGTAGCCTGGTGCTTTCTCTGTCTCTCTTCTTCCACCCCTTCTCCTTTTGGGCAAATCTGTCCTCTCATGACAGGTGTTTCTGTGTAGGGCAACCATGCTCACATGCTCACATTCTCAACCTTTAAATAACTTTTATTACCTATTAACCTTATTTGTGTCAGCACAGAATGGGTGTCTTTCTTTGTGACAAGAGCCTGGAGTTTTAAAAAAAGGGATAATACTCTCTCACTCACATCAGTAATAAATGATACACCATGTTTCTCAAAGGAAAGACAATCACCATCCCTGATGGAAATAAATGTTGCTTGGACATCTCTGAGATGATAAGTGAGAGCAGACTTCCTAGGTTTTGGGGCTAGAAGTGTAATCCTGGGGGGTGATTAAGAGAAAGATTACCCTTTTCTCCAGAATAACACACCTCCTACAGTGCTGTCCTCCCTTCTTTTAGCCTTACCTCTATATCAACCTGTTGTGTATGCTCACTAAAAGGATAAGTTCTCTAAACTGACTCCTTGTTAAGCGCTGTACTGAGGTTAGTGACCCTAGATTCTTGGGGGATGTGAGAGCCTAGGGTAGGGTGTCTTTCGTGTATTCTATCCTCACCTTTGACAAAAACTCAGCTATACTTTACAGCCTCAATGAGAAATCTCAACAGACAGTATGTGATATGTTTAGTATATCAATTAGAAATACATTTAGAGGTAAGGAACTTGACAAAATTTGGCTTAAAATGAACGTTAGGTCTTTTCCGTGGTATTTGGAGTTTTAGGAAAGTTACTCACAAGTGACTTTAACCAATCAGACTTTATTCATCATCCTTCTCTCCTTTTCTGAGAGTATTGTCCATTGTTGCAATTGTACCTCCAGGTATCACATTCTGGATCAAGATAAAAGTCAAGAAAGCTCTTCCTGGCTCATGCTGATCCTTCAAATGAGAAATAGGACTTTCTGGGAAATCTCAGTTGATATCCTCTAGCTTACATATCACTGAGAAGAATTGAGTCTCTAGCTGAAGAAAATTCTGTATAATTATAGTTTTTAAAGCTGCAAAATTCAGTTTGTTATGGGAAATGGGCAAGATGGGTTAGGCAGTTAATTATGTCCCCCACACTCCTGCTAGATGTTACTGTCTGTGATAGCAAAGCCCCTGTTTATTTTGTTTAATATTCCTGGCTTTGTGCTTAGAAGTTAGCAAATATGTAGATAGGCTTTTATGCATTGAACGAATCAGGAAGCATACCTTGATAATGTTTGCCAATCATTTTATGTTTATTATGAACACAAATGTGGCAAAAATATGATAGACATGTCCAGAAATGATTGCAAATTAATATGACAAAAATCTAGCACATTTTATTATACAGAACTCAATAAAATGACCAAGTATGATCACAGAAGTAAATCTCAAGCATCAAGCTAGTAGGAATTAGCCTGATGGGAAAAAGTCAGCATACCTTGATTTTATTTATTTGTTTATTTTTAATTATTTGAGAGGCAAAGTCACAGAGACAGGGAGAGACAGAGAGAAAGGTCTTCCATCCTGGTTCACTCCCCAGATGGTGGCAACAGCCAAAGCTAAACTGATCCAAAGCCAGGGTCCAGGAACTTCTTTTGGGTCTCCCACATGGGTGCAGGGGCCCAAGCACTTGGGCCATCTTCTACTGCTTTCCTGGGCCAAAACGGAGAGCTGGATGGGAAGAAAAGCAGCCAAGACATGAATTAGCCCCCATATGGGATGCCGGCTATGCAGGCGGAGGCTTAACCTACTACGCCACAGCACCAGCTCCTAAGTATCTTGATGTTAACATTCTCAGAGTATGTGTTATTTTAGAAACAAGTTAGCACATCTTCAGCACCTATCAAGCATCACTGGGTAGTCTATATGCTATGCATTTATCAGCAGAGTATTTCTTTGGACTGTATAGGGGTTTAAGAATTGAAGCTTGGGGCCGGCACCATGGCGCAATAGGTTAATCCTCTGCCTGTGGCGTTGACATCCCATATGGGCGCCGATTCTAGTCCCAGCTGCTCCTCTTCCAATCCAGCTCTCTGCTGTGGCCTGGGAAGACAGTAGAAGATGGCCCAAGTGCTTGGGCCCCTGCACCTATGTGGGAGACCAGGAAGAAGCTCTTGGCTCCTGGCTTCGGATTGGTGCAATTCCGGTCATTGTGCCATTTGGGGAGTGAACCAACAGAAGAAAGACCTTTCTCTCAGTCTCTCTCACTGTCTGTAACTCTACCTGTCAAATAATTAAATAAAATCTTTAAAAAAAAAAGAGTTGAAGCTTTTGACTAAAACTGTAGAGCTTGTAGTGGCTATTTCATCACAATATTCTAAGAATTTGGAATTTAAGTATTCAATTTTAGGAGGCTGAAATATTTTCTTGTGATTCTTTCAAGTATATTCCATAGATATTTTACATTCTTAAGCAGCATTCACTAGATGAACACAAATCTTTTGTTGATTACTTAGTCAAGCAAATGCCAATTTGTGCTTAGACATTTTGAGATATAATCCTAATATACAATTTATAATAAATGACTTTACCTTAAAGCATATTAAACATTTTCTTCAGGTTATTCATCAACTTCTGATAGATTTACACCCAATTCTTTTGTTTTCTTTCTGATGCATTTTTTTCAATGGTGATAGTTCATGTATTCTTTTTCTCTTTTGATGGGGTGGGAAACCATGTTAACATATCTGTTATGGTTGACAATGAAGAGAACATATGTGGGTATGAAAATGAGCCT